AATGGTGCTTTATGATTAGTTACCCCACTGGAAATAAAGTGAGGTCCACATTTCACCTCTTACGGAGAGGTTCATCCGGTATAGATTAAAGATGGAGTAGAGAACACAGTACTGCGGTTCTAAAGCAGAATGGGACCCAGGAGGACTTTGTATACAGGCCACAGAGTCTGGAGCCATGAGAAGTGGCAGACCACGTAAAAAGTTTAAACCGTTCCCATGGTAGAAGATGCTGTATGCAAGTTAAAGGCATGCAACAGGCTGAGAGAGACTTTAAACATTACAAAGGATATAGCCATTATAAGAAGTTCCAGTGGAAAACAACAAGGATGAGATAAAATATACACTCTGACAAAGCATATCAACACGCAACTCTTAGATGAAGTAAGACAAGTGTAGTCCTTAAGCTCACTAGCAAAAAGATAAGTGCGAATTTTAAAAGTCCTTACCACCAACACAAACTGCAACAAATAGTTTGAAATGTAAAGGTTGGCTGCTTTTTCAATTACCCAGGACTGTGGCAAGTGTGAAAAAGAAAACAGTTTTATAGGCTGGGGAGGGTTAAATTGGTTGCAAGCCTTAAAAGCCATGTCCAAAATTTTAAATGCTGTCCAAATTTTAAATGCATGGGTCACTCTTTGCTATAGTTGCCCATCTTTTTTCCTGGAAATACAAATGCAGAATTATAGGTCCATAAGAACATTTATTATACGATTGTTAAAAAGAAATTGGAATAGCTTAAATGTCCATGACTAGTGAATGGATGACTTAAATTACACAAATCAGTTTAGTAGATAGCTGTGCAATGCTGAAAACAGAACGAGGTGACTCTGTTCTCTTGTAGTTCACCGATGGAAACTAATTTTCTCAATTATGTAATATGCTCGCAGTTACAAAGACATGAACGTTACAACTTTAGCAATATAAAAAGGCAGGCTTAGCGGATGGCTTTCATTTGGGGGCCTACAGTACAAATACGCACAAATGTTTTCTTTCCACACGCACTCTCCTGCGCTGACCTTCTCTGGGCTCTGACGCTATTTCGCGAGGGATGCTTTGTGCTGCCGTTTGTGCGCGGTTCCCTTCAATCCCGTGAGATGGTCCCTCCTTGGACACTGGAGGGACTGGAATAGGACGGGCCTCTGGCAGGGCGTCCACGTGGTGCTAAGTCGCGACTGCCCCCCTCCCTTTCCAGGTCGCGTCCTTGTGTATCCCGGTGTTCATTTTAAAATTAGATTATTTTGCTGTCAACCAAAGAAATCAGCCAGCACAGAAATCGGTAGCCTTGAGTGGGTTTCAGGCCAAAGAGCCTCCACAAAGGTGGATTATTTTTTAAATTCGCTTACTGGGTGGTACGGAGCAAAGTCCTATTCTGTGCCGTGAACGTGGACCACCGTGCTGCCTGGGGGGAAGGCAGCCGGTCGGCCGTGGTCGCCACCTCTGTTGCCGTTGACCAATTGAAAGAGGGAGAAATGCCAGCTTGAGAGGTATGTGGGTATGTGTGATGCTGTGGGCGATGGAGTTGGGTAACAGAGCAAGAAAAAGCACTTCTTGAAATGGTTGCGTGAAGGCGCGGTCTGCAACCAGCCATTAGTGTAGCGTAATGGAAAGACTTCTCCCTGGTAGCTACAGGGCTGAGGCTGCCAAGTGCCAGAATGAGCCTGTGGCTTGCTGAGCGACGGTGCCAGCCAAATTCATGATTCTTGCGTGTTTCTTAAGTGAAATGTTTGACATTGGGAACAGTTGATATCCTGGTTATTGGAATGAGTGTTCATGGTGCATTTGGGGAATTTGAAACTCCTGAGCCCCTAGGAGCCCTGTGACCACACCCACGTGCTTCCCTTCACTTGAGATCCCCACACAGGAGGCCTCACAGTGTCCTTCCGGCTGACCAGTGTTGCAGCTTTGCTGATTGGAAACAAATCTGGTTCTAAAGTGGCCAGAGGCTGATGTAAGAAAGCCATCAGGGAGGGACGACAAGCCCCGAAGTGTTTATCAAATTTATATCAGCATCTTGAAAATGGCAGCAGGATGGGGTTTTAAACCTGTGTGACCTCAGAAGCTGGGACAGAACTGTAACCAGAATCGGCAAATGCGCACATCAGGTGCTCCACGTGCTCACGCGTGTGGCTTCTCACCCACCGCCCCGCCCCACCCCTGCGCGCGTCCCCCCCACCCCCCACCCCCCCCCCCGGTTCTGGTGGAGGGAGTGCGGGTCTCTCGGCCTGACTGGCACCCAGTGCCGCTGCGGTCCCCAAAATGGTCTTGCCTGATACACAAGGAGTTGGGGGAACTGGGGTGCAGGACGTACTTTGTCATGTCGGAGTTTCTCTCGGTGCTCTTGTGAGGCTCCCGAGACAGGGCAACCTGCCTTCTCTTAAACCTGGGCATGGTGTGGGAGCGTGGCGCGGCCTGGTGCCTACGCGCGTCCCGAGGCCGGGCTCGCCCAGCGGCAGTTCTTGAGAGGGGTTTCTGATCTCCAGCCCTCGACGACCCCAGGCAGGCTCCCCAGAAGCCAAGCAGTTCACTCAGTAGTGCTCGGGCAGGCTCATCTTCGGAAATGTTACGAGCCGTGTTACACGTGTCTGTGTGTGTGTGTGTGTGCAAGTGCACACAGACCCTGGCTGCGTTACATCCCAGAAAGCCATTCTACCGCAAACATTTCCAGTTAAAAATAGAGCATGGTGGGTAGTTCCGGCCGAACGGTGCCTCTGCCAACACCGTGGCGAGGTAAACTTGCGAAGTGCAACCATCACAAGTCGGGGAGCAGATACCTGTACGTGTCTCCATCATACATGACCTCTACCGTGCACATGTAGCGTGTGGCACACATGCAGTGCACACACACACACTATAACCGGCAAATAAGCCATATTAAAGACGACAACAGTTTGGAAACAGTGAACTCGAACATTCATTCGCTGCGTTTCATGCCTGGCCTTTCCGGGAGTGCCACGTGGGGGCTGGTTCCGCGCGTCCTTCCTGCCCACCCGCCGCCCGGCCGGGCTGAGGCTGCAGCGGCGGAGCCTGCGGGTCGGGGCCTGTCGGCTGGAGCACGTGGCAGGGACGGGACGTGGACCAGGGACGCGTGTCCTCCCGCTGTGCGTTGCCCAGAAAGCGGCGGGACAGTTTCCGGGTCCTCGGGGGCCGTCGCCCGGTGCCGCGGGGCCTCCGGCGCCCGCTCCCGCCCGCGCCCGGCGGCGGCCCCGGCGCGCGAGAAGCCCCAGCCCCGGGCGGCCGCCGCCCGCCGCCCGCCGCCGCGCGCTCCCGACGGCGACGGGGGCCCCGGGCTTGGCCTCGTTCGCCTCCGAGCCCGAGCCCGGCCGCCGCCCGCCGGAGGCCCCGCCCCGCCCGGGCCTGCGCGGGTCTCCCCGGAGCGCCCCGAGCGCGGGGCCCCCATCGGAAGAGCGCGGGGCGCGCGGGCGGCGGCGGTTGTCCGGGGCGGCCGGACAGTCGCAGCCTCCCCGGTGCCCCGCGCGGCGCCCCCCGCGCCCCGCCCCGCGCCCCCCGGCGCCCCGCCCCCCGCTTGGAAGCCGCCGCCCCGCCCCCACGCGGCTCCGCCCTTCCCCCCGCCCCGCGGTCCATTTGTGCGCCGCCCCGCCCACTAGCCCCGTAGCCCCGCCCTCTTAGCCTAGCGTGGCCCCGCCCTCCCCGCCCGCGAGCCACGCCCCTCCACCACGCCCCCTCTACTCTTCATCCTTCGCCCCGCCCCGCCCCGCCCCGCCCCGCCGGCGCAGCCTCCTCAGACGTCCGGCGGCCCCGCCCCTCACCCTCGCCCGCCCACTGGCACCTGCGCCTGCGCGCTCCAAAGGCGGCGGCGCCTCCCGAAACCCGTCGGGCGCGCCGCCCTCCCTAGGAGCGGCCCCAGGCCCCGTGACCACGGCTCCCCGGACGGCCGCAGCCGACAGGAGCGGCCTCTCCCGCCGGCCTCCCCGCGCCGCCGGACCCGCGGACTACACTTCCCAGGAGGCGCCGCGGCGGGCCTCTACTTCCGGTATTGCTCACACCCACTTCCGGCGGGCGGGGCGGGCGCGCCGGTGACATGCCGGGGCGCGGGGGCGCTCGGGCCCACGGGCCGGGGTCCCCGCCGCGGCGGGGCGTCCCCCGCACGAAGCCCGCGGCCCCTCTCGGCCGCCCGGCCCGGGGACGGCCACGCGCGCGGAGCGTCCCCGCGCCCCAGGGCCCGCGGGCCGCGGCGCCGGAGCGCGGAGGTGAGGGGCCGGGCGCGGGGGCCCGGGCGGGGGGTCCCCCCCGACGGCGCGCCCCCCGGGCGCCCCCGTCTCCCCGGCGCCGCCCCGCGCCGGCCCCGGCGCCCAGTCCCGGGGAGGTCTCGGCGGGGGCCCGCCCGGCCCCTCAGCGCCGCCCCCTTTCCTGTCCCGCAGCTCCGCCGTCGGGGGGCGCCGCCCGGGCCGCGGGGAGGAGGCGCGAGCGGGACGCGGCGGGCGCGGAGCCCACGGCCAAGCCCCCGGTGAGTGGCCTCCCGCCCCCAGACGCCCGGCCCGGCGCGGGCGCCTCTCCCCGCGACCTCCCGGGAGGGGGCTCTGGGCGCCCTGCCGCTGGTGGCGGGCGACGCCCGGGTGGACGGGCCGCCCCTGGGCCCACAGTCTGGGCGTTTGTAGCAGCTTCTGGGCGGAGACGGGCCGCGGGCAGAGGAGGGAGGGCGGCGTAGTCCAGCGCGGCCCGTCGGAGTGTCTGTCCCGTGACCGCTGAGCGAGCTCGGGCCTGTCCGGGGCCGGCCGCTCCTCGGCCTCGTCCTGGGAACGCTGGTCTCTCATTCCCCCGTGAAGCCGGACAGTGTCTTCCCGGGAGGGGCCTTGCTGCGCTGGCCTCTTTGGTGTCCCTCGCTGGATACCAAGCAATGAGGCACCGCGTCGCCAGTGCCTGTGCCCGGTGCTGCCCCACGGGCGAGTCGGAGCGCTGGCCGAGCAGGGTGCGCTGTGTCTTTTCAGAGCTTGGTGACCTTCGGGGACGTGGCTGTGGACTTCTCCCGGGAGGAGTGGGAGTGGCTGAGCCCCGCGCAGAGGGGCCTGTACCGGAGGGTGATGCTGGAGAACTACCGGAACCTGGCGGCGCTGGGTGAGTGCCCCCGGCTCCTTGCCCATGCCCGCTGAGCTGACCCAGGAGCCCACCCCTCCATCAGCGCCTCCCGTGCCCGCTTCCTTCAGCCAAGGCGGCTGCAATTGCTGTCCAGGCAGCCCCTGGTGTGACCACGTCCTGTCTCTTCTTGCAAACTCAGGGCTCTGCGTTTCTAAGCCCGATGTGATCTCCTCCTTGGAACAGAGGAAAGAGCCCTGGACGGTGGAGAGAAAGATGACGCGAGGCTGGTGCCCAGGTGAGTGGGGTCAGGGGTGGGGGTGTCACTGCCCGTCGCTCCTCTGTCACCTCAAACACATGGTTCCTCAGGCTCTTCCTGTGGCCTGGGCCAGGCGGACAGCAGAGGCCTCCAGAACGTGGGCTTCCCACGGTCTCGCGTCCCCCTTGTCTGCTCCCCATCCTCTACAGGTTACCTCCTGGCGGTGACTCTGGGCGCCGCTCCTCACATTCCTGCTGTTGTCCCTTTGTTGTTCACACCCGTGCAGCCATCTCTGTCCTTTAAAGGCCGTGGCTGTGTCTGAGGTAGTGCTCACCGCCTTGCTCCTCCCTGATCGGATGCCCTGTCCATCCGCGTCCCCTGATGCTGACGCCCACAGGCATCAGCTTTGAGTAGGCCCCAGGGGTGGGCTGGCAAGGAGAGCACAAGGCGGCGAAGCGCTTGCCAGCCCTAGAGACGAGGCCTCTGCGTGTGAGTTGGATGGAGCAGATGCTCTGTCCATGCGTGAGCGCTGGGAGTGGAGACCTGAGGGGAAGAAAACTCATTCCCCTGAGCTGGGAGGCAGGACTAGAGCCGTCAGCAGAACCGCAGAGGCGGAGAAGAGGGCGGGGTGGGTGGGCCGGCCCGGCAGGCAGTGGCTGGGTCACTGACTCTCAGGAGGGAAGAACATGGACTCCGGCTTGCTAGAATGTTCTGCAGATGTGCGTGAGGTTATGCCGCTTGGGAACACAGAGCTTTCTACCACAGCGCTGTTTCTGGGCCGGCACATGGAGCTAGTGACACGGGCGTCAGGACAGGTCTCCTTGGGAAAGGAAAAGGCTGCCCTTCGTGGAGGGCTGAGAATCCTGCGAGGCCTCTTTGTTCCACTCACGCCTCACGGGGAATGTGTGTCGACAGGCCCAGCCTGGGCGCTCGAGTGACAGGCCAGCGACGTGTCACCGTGTGAGGGGAGGATGGTGTCTGAGCTCTGCAGCCGCCACCTGGGGAGGTGCGGGCGCCTGGCTGGTCTGAGTCAGCTGCTTTGCCTCTGCCGCTCCATCTCCGCACCGGCGCTCTGAGGTCAGACCTGAGCTTTTGTTAGTCAGCAGTGCCACGAGTAACACGACCTGGAAAGCGGGGGGAATGTATTTTGCTAAAATAATCAAACAGGATGGAGGGAGAGTCAGAGTGAGTTTCCCTCCAGCTGGCATAAGGCTCCCTCCTCCTCCGGGGGCTGTTCTGGTGACATTTTATCTGAGATTTAAGTTGGTGGGGGCCCTTTATCTCCTGATCTTCCGTCCATCTCTTTCCAGTCTGCGTCCACTGCTTATTCACTTTCCAGATACGAAAGCTCCCGTTGTGGTGTTGGGGTGCTAGCTCGGCCGATTTGGGATGTCAGGTTGGCTGGTCACACGGAAAGGCTGGCAGGACAGTTTGCTTTGTGGAGGATTCTAATTCACCTGGTTACCTTTTGGAGGTTTTCTCTGTACTGACATACAATAAAAGAGGAAATTTCTTGCTGTCTTTCAGACTTGAAGACCGTGCGGGAGACCAAGGAGCCACCACCGCAGAAGGGCTTCCGTGAGGAGACGTCACCCCCCGCAGAGATAATGGAGAGACTCCCACACTGCGGCCTGGAGTGCTCCCTGCTGGGGGGCGGCTGGGGTTATGACGCCCTGTTTGAGAGGTGGCCGGTAAGTCAGCAGGCGCTCTCTGGACGAGATAAAACCCTGAGGAAAGGCACCGCCGTGACCGTGGGGGCTTCCACTTGACTGCAGCACGTCTAAGAGACAGAGCGTTAAGCAAGGGGAAATCTCACCTGACACACCACAGGCAGCCCTGCACTGGTCTGCACTGGGTCCGTTGCCGTGTGGTGAGTGTGAGTCCCCCTGAGCAGGCCCCCAGCCCTTCTCCTCCGAGGGTGACGTGAGAGAAAACCCTGTAGCCTCCTTGAACGTGTGTTGAATATTAGATCATTCCAGCTGCCTGTAAGTTCATCCCTTCTACGAATTACAGCTTCTCCAGGCGGAGACAGTTCCTCTTCTCTCGCTTGTGTTTCCTCCTCAGACACACACATCCATCCAGGCCTGGTCACGATGGGGCCTGCAGAACCTAAGGGAGGACTCAGTGCAGTTGCGCGCTGGGTGGGCACAGTGTGGTTCCGTCCAGAAACCATGTCTGCACCATTTCAGGGCTTGGTGACCATCACGAGTCTGGCCGTGGACTTCTCCCAGCGGCTGGACCCAGCCCCGCGGAGTCCGTGTCGTCAGAGTGTGGTGTGGGATGCACGCAGTGACCTGGGGGCAGTCGGTAAGGACATGTCTCTCCCAAGTCTGAACCAGCCTGCAGGGGTGCCTGGTTTCCGTTCTTGGCTTTGGGTGGTGGGAGGGGCCCAGCCTTCTGGAGGGTAGAGCCTCGCCCCCGACTCCTAAGCACGAGCTCAGGTTCTCGACAGCTGACAGATGCCCGAACATCATCTCTGATGTCTTCTCTGCACGTCTCGGTTTCTTTGCTGAGTCTTCCTGTGAAAACAGTTTGTTTGTTTTTTTTAAAAAATTTATTTATTCATACAAGCACTGGGCACAGTCAGAAGCGCGGGAGGGTGAGAGAATTCACCAGAGCCAGAGCGGGGAGCAGAGCAGGCAGAAGGACCGAAGGACACTGCTGAGGGGAGCAGCAGGTGGCAGGAGAGGTCTGCGCGCCATGCGGGACCCTCCTCCTGTGGCCGGGGAGCAGCCAGGGGTCGAACCGGCGCCGCAGAGGCTGCGGGCAGCTTCACAACCCAGCGCTCCACCGCTGCGCCACCGGGGAGGCCCTGAAAACGCTTTTTAAAAGAAAAAAATCAAAATTCGAAATTAAGGAGCCACTTGCCACTTTAAGGATGCCCAGAGCGTGACGGAACCCTCTGCTTTCCCCCCCACAGGACGCTGTGTCTCCAAGCCAGCCACGGCCCCTTTGCTGGCGCGAGGGCGGGAAGCCTGGCTGCTGAGGAGAGAGCAGGCGGGAGGCCTGCCCCCAGGTGAGCGCGGGGTGGCGGGAGGGCTGGGTTCTCGCGGAGGGCTCTGGGACTCGCTTTCCCCATTCCCGCCGGCACAGGACGCGCTGCTGTGCAGGAGCTGGAGCTGGAGCTGAGCGTCCCTCGCGGAGGCCTGTGTTCTGTTGGCTGTTGATCCTCTCGCGGGTTTTTCCCTGAACAGGTTCATTCCCGTTTGTGCGGCGTAACAGATGCGAGGTCGTTCCCGTCACTTCGTTCTCTTTCACTCGTTCTCCTTTCTCCTCTCTCCTCCTTCCCACGTAGCCTGTCTTGTTGTGACGCTTTTAAGAGCCTGCTTTCCTCCTGAATGTCTGTCACGGAACATGCGCGTAAAATCCGGCTGTTTCAAAGTGCACAACTTAGGGCCTCCCTGGAGGCCTGGGGTGGAGTCTCAGCACTGTCACTACTGAGTTCAGTCCCCCACCAGGGAGCTGCCCGCAGGGCGCGGCAGACCTTTCCTGTCTCCCCGCTGCTCCCCTCAGCAGTGTGTTTCAGTGGCTCTGCCTGCTCTGCTCCCCGCTCTGTCTCTGGGGAGTCCTCTCACCCCCCACCTCTGGCCTGCACCCCTCTGGTATGCATAAATAAATAAACACAGTGCATAATGTAGGCGTAGGAAGTACATTCCCATCACGTGCAGCCGGCACCCGCCTCCACTTCCAAACCTTCTTCATCAGATCGAAGGAATCACCTTGTATTCCTTAATCAGCCCCTTTCTTTTTCTCCTGACCCCACCCGCTCCCCGTATGGTGGCCTCCACTGGGCACACGTTGGCAAGGGTCACCGTACAGAGCGTGCATGTGTGACCATCCCTGCTGATGGCTGGGTGGCCCTACTGTCCGCTGTGCCCCTTGTGGTGCATCCTCTCTGCGCTGGTGGACGCTGGATCCTCCTCTTGGCCGCCGCGCCTGGTGGTGCAGTGAACAGTGGCCAAGTCTTGGGGGTTGCGGCTGCTGGGTCATCTGGTGACCCCCGCTGGCACGGCACGGGCGTCTGGCCTCCTGCGTTCTCGCGGGCAACGGGCTGCAGGCTGGTGGCGGCCCATCCTCCTGGTACTCCGTTGACTTGGTGCAGCTACAGCCTTTGTGGGTGGGCAGGGGCAGCACACGCGTGTGGCCTGCAGCTCTCCAGGAACAGCAGGGGCGTGTCTCTCCCGAGCGTGGTGGCCGTTCCTGCATTTCTCTGTGGAGTGTCCGTCCGGTCCTGTTGTCTGTTCTTTGAATCCGAGTCTTTTTGTTGTTGAGTGAACAGAGCGCTTTCTGTTTTCTTGAAATTGGAACTTTATTGCAAATATGATCCACAACTGTCTTTCCCTTTCTGTGTCTTGTCGTTTTCGTTGATAATAGCGTTCCTTGATATAGAATAGTTTCTAATTTGATAAAGTCCAGTTTATTCTTTCTTTTGTTGCTCATACTTTTGTCATATCTGAGAATCCATTGCCAGGTCAAAGGTCATGTCTTTTCTTATAAGAGTTTTAGCTTTTACACTTGGGTCTTTGACCCACTTTGAGTCAACTTCTGTTGTGTGGTATGAGGTGAGTACAGTTCCTCAGTTCCTCTTTTTTTTTTTTTTTAAAGTTTTTTTTTCATTTACGCATACAAGAGCTGGGGTGCAGGCCAGAGGTGTGGGGGGTGAGAAGATTCACCAGAGACAGAGTGGGGAGCAGAACAGGTGAATTAGCTGAGATCCACTGCTGAGGGGAGCAGCGGGGAGACAGGAGAGGTCTGCTGTGCCATGAGGTAGCTCCCTGGCCTGGGATTGAACTCAGGCCTCAGTGGCTGGAGATAGCTTGACAGCACTAAGACTTAACCCCTGCGCCATCAGGGAGGCCCCTGCAGTTCCTCCTTTTGCATGTGATAGCCAGTTGTCCTGGCATCATGAATTGAAGAGACTCTTCTTACCCCACTGAATGGTCTTGGCGCCATTGTTGAAAATCAGTAGGCCACAGAGGTGTGGGTTTGTTTCTGGACTCTCAGTCCTTTGATACATGTACGTGTGTGTGTGTTTGTGTTTGTTTATTCCCTTCATGCTGCTCTCTCACCATTTCGATCGCTGTGGCATTGTGGTAGGTTTCGTCATCGGGAAGTGTAGTCCTTCAACGTTCCTCTTCCAGATTGCTTTGGCTAGTAGGGGATCCTTGTGATGTCATGTCAATTTTTGGTTCAACTTTCCTATTTCTGGAGAAAAGTCCCCTGACAGTAATGCGATGCTGGATTGAATCTAGCAATCACTGGGGGCTCTTAGCATTGTAATTAATGTTAAGTCTCACTGTCCATGAATACTTAGGTCTTCATAATCCCATTCAGCACTAGTTGTAGTTTTCAGTGTATAATCCTTGGGTGACTTTATTTCTAAGTAATTTTTCATTTATTGCTGTTTTTCCTGGAATTGTTTTCATAATTTCCTTTTCTGAATGTTCATATTTAGTGTATAGAAATAATCTGATATTTGTGTGTTGTTTATATCCTATAGTTTTGCTAAATTAATTTATTGGCTCTGATATTTTCTGGTGGATTCTTGTAGGATTTTCTTTGTATGGAATCATGTCTTCTCAAGTAGAGTTTTACTTTTATATTTGAATGCCTTTCTTTCTCTTTCTCATTGTGCTTGCTGGAACTTCCAGTGTGGTGGTGAATGGACATGAAAGCAGGCACCCTCCTCGTCCCTGGCAGAGGGAAAGCTTGCAGTGTTTCAGATGTCTTTTTTTTTTTTTTTTTAAAGATTTATTTATTTATTTATACATATAAGCACTGGATACAGTCAGAAGCGCGGGAGGGTGAGAGAATTCACCAGAGCCAGAGCGGGGAGCAGAGCAGGCAGAAGGACCGAAGGACACTGCTGAGGGGAGCAGCGGGCGGCAGGAGAGGTCTGCTCACCATGGGGGACCCTCCTCCGGTGGCCGGGGAGCAGCCGGGGATCGAACCGGCTGCAGAGGCTGCAGGCAGCTTCGCAACCCAGCGCTCAACCGCTGCGCCACCAGGGAGGCCCTGGGGTTGTTTTCTTAATTTTCTTTTTATTTATTTAAAAAATTTTTTTTAAAGATTTAGTTATTTATTTATACAAGCACTGGGTACAGTCAGAAGCACGGGAGGGTGAGAGAATTCACCAGAGCCAGAGCAGGGAGCAGAGCAGGCAGGTGGACCGAAATAAACTGCTGAGGAGAGCAGCGAGCGGCAGGAGAGGTCTGCGCGCCATGTGGGACCCTCCTCCGGTGGCCGGGGAGCAGCCGGGGATCAAACCGGCGCTGCAGAGGCCGCGGGCAGCTTCGCAACCCAGCGCTCAACCGCTGCGCCACCGGGGAAGCCCTTCAGATGTCTTTTAAAAAAACAAGGTTTTCACTCTTTTCCCAGCCCTGTGAGTCTCCGAGTCGTCTCCCCGGTAGCAGTTTCATCTGTGCGTGTCTATCTTATCTAGTCTACACTGAGAGAAAACCATTTGTGCTCAAAGTATTATGAAAAGTCTCTTCGAGATGAGAAATGCACTGCAGTGTCTGATCTTAAGAAGGGTCCAGAGCTGAAGAGTGAATTTTGTCCCTAGGTGGAAGCAGGCAGGTAAATATAAAATTGATTTTCTGTGACCTGCTCAGCTTCAGTCATCAGCTGGCAATGTAGCATTTATCGAAATTTTCAGGTAAGATTAATAGAAACGCCACTTTCTGGTTGTAGGGCTATATGTGCATATGTATAAACTGTCAGGTAATTTTAATGAATGTTATTAAAACTTTGTCTTTTTGGTGCTTTGGCAAGTTTCTCAGAGCAACTTTGGTTGGTGTGATGAGTGCTGTGGCACGTGAAGACAGAGAGTTAAGGCGACGAGTGGGCAAGGCTATGATTCTAGGTGGTGTGACCGAGGAATGCTCCCTGCTCACACTCTCTGATATGTACTGATGTCACACGTATTTCACTTTTTTCTATTTGTCTCTCCTAGGTCCCTGAAAGAAAATGAATTGTCTGTGGGGTGTCTTCTTTTTTTTATATTTATTTTTTATGCATACAAGATCTGGGGTACAGGCCAGAGGTGTAGGGGTGGTGAGAGGATTCACCAGAGACAGAGTGGGGAACAGAACAGGCAGATCTACTGAAATCCACTGCTGAGGGGAGCAGTGGGGAGACAGGAGAGGTCTGCTGCGCCATGTGGGTAGCTCCCCGGCCGGCCATCTAACTGTTGCTACAGTGGCTGCTGACAGCCTCATAGTGCTGCATCTTAACCCCTTGCATCATCAGGGAGGCCCAGTCTGTGGGTTCTTCTTATATGTATTGTGTGTTTAAATGTCATGGCTCTTAGAGGCACATGATTTATGTGATTTCATTATACGGTTAAACTCACCAGATAGTGAATTCTGTTTCAGTTTTCCATTTAGCAGGCTCCTTTTTCTCTAGTGCACAGTAAGTGAAATATTTCTTTTCTTGGTATCTTTCAGACCCACAATCGGTGCATGAGACCCAAGAACTCTGCCCAAAGCAGGATTCGTTTGCTGACGTGGTAATGGGCAGAACTGCAAACACTGAGCTGACGTGTTCCACTTTCAGAGAAAATTGGGAATCTGTGGGCGTGTTTGACCAGAAGCTGGTAGGTCAGGGCACCCAGTTCAGGCCAGAGACGGTCACTCACAGCACACCCCTCTCCAAGGACGGAGGGCGCATGCACAGCAAGCCCGCCAGGTGGCTGCGCCTGGGCAGCTCAGAAGAGAGAGCTCACAGTCGGGAGTCCCTGAAGAAAAACTTCCCCCCGAATTCGGTGGCAATAAAACACACGGGTCTCTATGCTGGAAAAAAACTTTTCAAATGTAACGAATGTAAGAAGACTTTTACTCAGAGCTCCTCCCTGACTGTTCATCAAAGAATCCACACCGGGGAGAAGCCCTACAAGTGTGGCGAGTGCGGGAAGGCCTTCAGCGATGGCTCGTCGTTTGCGCGCCATCAGCGATGCCACACGGGAAAGAAGCCGTATGAGTGCGTGGAGTGTGGCAAGGCCTTCATCCAGAACACGTCCCTCATCCGCCACTGGCGCTACTACCACACCGGGGAGAAGCCCTTTGATTGCATCGACTGCGGGAAAGCCTTCAGCGACCACATCGGGCTGAACCAACACAGGAGAATTCACACTGGGGAGAAACCCTACAAATGTGACGTGTGCGACAAATCCTTCAGGTATGGCTCGTCCCTCACTGTGCACCAGAGGATTCACACTGGAGAAAAACCTTACGAATGCGAGGTCTGCAGGAAAGCCTTCAGCCACCACGCCTCCCTCACGCAGCATCAGAGAGTGCACTCGGGGGAGAAGCCGTTCCAGTGTCAGGAGTGCGGGAAGGCCTTCCGGCAGAACATACATCTTGCCAGTCACCTGAGGATCCACACTGGAGAGAAGCCCTTTGCGTGTGCGCAGTGTGGGAAGTCCTTCAGCATCAGCTCCCAGCTGGCCACGCACCAGCGCATCCACACGGGCGAGAAGCCCTACGCGTGCAAGGTGTGCGGCAAAGCCTTCACCCAGAAGGCTCACCTCGCGCAGCACCAGAAGACGCACACGGGCGAGAAGCCGTACGAGTGTAAGGAGTGCGGGAAGGCCTTCAGCCAGACCACACACCTCGCCCAGCACCAGCGGGTGCACACCGGGGAGAAGCCCTACAAGTGCGCCGAGTGCGGGAAGGCCTTTGGTGATAACTCCTCCTGCAGCCAGCACCAGAGGCTGCACACCGGCCAGAGACCCTACGAGTGCCTCGAGTGCGGGAAGGCCTTCAAGACCAAGTCGTCCCTCATCTGTCACCGGCGAAGCCACACCGGGGAGAAGCCTTACGAGTGCGGCGCGTGTGGCAAAGCCTTCAGCCACCGCCAGTCGCTGAGCGTCCACCAGAGAATTCACTCTGGAAAGAAGCCGTACGAGTGCAAGGAGTGCAGGAAGACCTTCGTCCAGATCGGGCACCTCAACCAGCACAAGCGCGTGCACACGGGAGAGCGCGCCTACGGCTGCAGGCGAAGCAGGAAGGGCTTCAGGCAGCCCGTGCTCTTTGCGCACCCGAGGACCCACAGCGCGGAGGCCTCCGCGTCCGGCCCCGCCGCTCCACTCCCCAGGTTCCTCTGGAGTCCATCTTCACTCGCGTCGCCCTAGTCTCAGCCACGCCCGTCGCTCCCCCAGACTGCCCCAGCCGTGAAAACTGCCTTCTGCCCTCGATTTTGTCCCCCGTGAGGCGGAGTGACTTTCAGTGTAAATGTAATTCGCTCCTCATGTAAAATGTGGGCTGAGATCCTTTAAACGGGTTAATCCTAATTTTTTAAAAAACCTGGGACACGGACAAGGCACGCTAGTCAACGCTGAGTAAAAATGGCGCCCAGGACAAGGCTTGACGAGACGAGAGTTCGGGTCGGCAGCAGGAGCTGAAGGTGGTCCCCGAGCCGCTGCCTGTCTTGGTATAACGTGCCTCCTGATGTCACGTGGTGTTGAGGCATCTGCCTGCGGCGAGGCCCAGTCGGTGCGAGGGCTCAGCTGCACGCCTGACAGCAGCCTAGGAAGGGTGGGGGGCACGTGGATGGATGAGTCCTCCTGGAACAAGGGAGCCGCAACCATCAGAAGCTGCAGGGTGTGCGCGCAGAGCTGGCGCTGCTGGCGTTTCATAGCAGGACTGGACAGTTGGCCAGGAGGTGGTTGATTCAAAGTCCCCTGGTTACGCGTGAATTCTAGTAACGTCTAGGGAGCCATGGTCCCTGAGGTGACTGACTGAAGGTCGGGCTCAGAAATCCAATGCACGGCCAGAGTCCCGCTCGCGGGCCTTGGTGGCCTGTGACCTCACGAACAGGGGAAAAGAATGACGTCCCGTGGCCGCACAAAATGGTGGAGAAGGACGCGTCGGTGTCGGTGGGAAAGCCTGGTGGGCTCCCGGGCGCACTCGTGTGTTCCACGTTGCCTGCGGCGGCTCTCTCATCCTGGGCAGAGCTGCGTGGCCCCGACCGCACAGAGCGTGTGGCCGGCGAGGCCGCGGGTGTTTCCGCCCGAGCCCTTGGGGCAGACGTCTGCAGCCCGTGCGCTCGCGCAGAACACACGAAAGGTGCGCTCCCTTGCCCGCGCGGGGGCTGCAACTCCCGTCCAGGACAAGCCGCAGGTGAACGATGAGCGGTGGAAGGGGGTCACTGCACGGTGTCGAGGGAGGCGTTTCCCCCGGATAAAACTCAGCAAGGGGCGGGGGGAGCGTCGGCCACGGGCACTCCCCGGCAGGACTTGCTGCCACGGTTGGTTTGACACGATGGGAAGCCCTTTTGGCAGGCAGACCGGTGCAGCCTTAGTCCCTCGCGTGTGAGGCCAGGCGCCTTCCAAGGGCAGCGGGTTTCCTTCTGGGAGGGAGCACGGGGTGGACGGTCACCCATGCTCCGAAGACGAGCCAGAAAACACGGGAGGCGCGCTTGCCCGCAGAGAAGTGCGGTGCCGGGGCATGCGCTGTGCTGTGGAGGGGCCGCGGGAGGGGGACCCTTGCTAGCTGGACGTGGGGTCCCGGGAGACGCGTTGGGAGAGCCAGTGGTGTCGGCGCACCGCCCCTTGTTGGCAGGCTCGTCCCCCCACACGGGCGGCCGTCTGGGGTGTCTGGGAACAAAGTGCCCTGACACCCGCGGAACAGCCAGAGACCGCGGCCATGCCCGACAGGCGCCAGGGTCGAAGGCTTCAGGTGAGTCAAGAAGACGGTGACGTTTTGGAGCCTCCTTCATCTCAAAAGGGCGAGTTAGACTTTGCCTCAGTGGCTCAGCAGAGTGGGGCGGCGCCGGGGACGGGGGAGGACCGGCGCCTCCGCCAGCAAGCCTGCTGTCTCCTGCCTCCCCCAGCCAGCCCAGTGTGCGCGCCTTCCAGAACCAGCTCTTGACCCGGAGGTTTTATCCTGTTGGGGGAAGCAGATGTCAGTCACGTTAACCGCATCGTGGTTTCAGTTACGACAAGCGGGATGGCCGCGTCCTGCGGGCGGGCCCATTAAACCGTGGCCGCTCAGTACCGCGGTGTCCGGTCACTGGAGGGCAGGCCGGGCGCTGCTGGGGTTGCCAACGCGCACTGAATATGAGCCGCGCAGCCGCGCGCGTGTGCCATGAGCGTGCCTCATACGGTGGGAACGACCCTCGCTGTAGGTTGGTGTCTGGGGCGATGTCCACGGGGCGCGCGTGGCACAGCGGGTGTGCTCTTGTCTTGTGTGCGCCCCGGCTCCTGGTGGGCTGCGCTGGCCTGCCTTCCGCCTGGCCTGGGGAGCCGCTGTCCCCACTCTTGCTCTTTGTGCTTTGACGGGGACACAGGCGCTGGACCCGGGGACCAGCGTCCGGCTGTGTGTGGCCGCGCCAGGTGTCTTTCCATCGTGTCCGTGTCCACCGCGCGGGCCCTGGTTGCACCGGCCGTTCAGTCTTCGGGTTGTGGCTCCGGGGCTGGCCGCCTCCCTGCAGTGCTGCGTCTCTGCCTGCGCTCCGAGCCATTAAACCAGTTCCTGCTTTCCCACGCCCTTGTCTGGTGCACTTCTTTCAGGTAAATCTCAGCTCTAATTTCAGGTCATCTTTTGTTGTCCGCCAGAGAAACCTAATCAGTGTAGAAGCTGCCACTAGAGAATGATGAGACCTTGGAACAGAGTATGAAGGGTCATTTTTTAAATTATTTTTTAAGATTTTATTTATTTTTATACAAGAACCGGGGTACAGGCCAGATGTGCGGGAGGGTGAGAGGATTCACCAGAGAGAGTGGGGAACAGATCCACTGAGACGCACTGCTGAGGGGAGCAGCGGGGAGACAGGAGAGGTCTCTAGTTTCATAGCGCGGAGGCCGGAATTCCGGCGTTTTAAAGTGCTGGGCCGCGTCATGTCTTTTATGCCCTCACTGGCCTCTGCAAGGCCCCTGCCGGATGTGCGGGCGCCCTGGGATGCTCCCCGCGCTCCCGCAGGTCCAGGTGAGCGTGGTGCTGCGGGGCCCAGTACGGCCGGGAGCTCGGCTGCAGCAAAATGGTCCCAAAAGCGCCCGCAGGCGCGGCTGTCCCGGCCCCCGAGGGGTCGCGGTTCAGTCACTGCCTGGCCTGGGAGCCGCCTGGGGTGTCTTAGGTAAGCGCGCCATGGCCGGCCGGGCTCCAGCCGCGGGGCCTGGTCGCTGCAAGGGAGGCTGGGCGGCCCCGAGTGGCCGCGACGCCGGGCGCCCCACAGCCGCCTTGCGGGACGCGGCCCGGGCGGCTCGGGCGGGCCAAGGGCGCAGCGGCCCCGCGGGCTCCGTGGTGGCCCGGGCCCCGCGGGCCCCCGTGTCTGCGCCCTGGACTGGCCGCGGGGCGGCGGCCGCCGGGAAGGGGCGTCCCCGCGGGCCTTGCTCGAGCAGGGGGGCCAGGGGCCAGGGCGAGTGGGCAGTGGCGCCGGGACCCGGCAGGCGGGCGCCGGGGCGCACATCGGGCGAACCCCGAGCTTCACCGCCGGCCCCGCCCCGCCCAGGAGGCCCCGCCACGCAGGCCCCGCCCAGGAGGCCCCGCCCTGGCCCTCTGACCACGCCCAGGAAGCCACGCCCCCTAGAGGCCCCGCCCCTGGTCCAGCGCGCCTGCGCGCTCCGCCCAGTAGTCTGCCCGCCCATCTGCGCCTGCGTACTTTGTGCCCGCGACGGCTCTCAGAGCCCTCGGGGCGCGGCTCGCTTCCCGCAGGCGGCCTGTGCTTCCGCGCGGGTTGCGCTCTCTCGGCGGCTCCGTTCCCTCCGGGCGGGCCGAGGGCGGCGGGAGCCACGCTGAGCCCGGCAGCCTCGTCGCCCGACTCCGCCGGCTCCCCGCCGGTGGGGACTACATTTCCCAGCGGCCCCTGCGGCGGGCGGGCTGCGCACTTCCGGCGGCGACTCGGGGCGGGCTGCACACTTCCGGCGGGGCCGCGGGCGCGCGGCGGGGCCGGCGGGATCGGAGACGCGGGTGAGCTCGCGGCGGCCGGCGCGGAGGACCTGGGGGTGCCCCCGCGCGCCCGAGTGCTGAGGGAGGTCTGGGGGCGCGGTCGGCGGCCGAGCGTGCGGCCCCGGGAGGGCCCTTGCCTTGCCGGCGTCGCCGATCCCGCCCCCTCCCCTTCCCCGGTCCTCTGGGGTCCCCAGTCCGGGACGACACTCCCGCTAGGACGCGACCTCGGGGTGCCCCGCTGCTCCCCAGGGAGGACCCCAAGATGGAGCGTTTCCCTGGCCCATGTGTCACTGGGGTGGCCCCGGGGGAGAGGGAGACTCAATCTCATCCGAATGTGCTGAGGGATCCCAGACTCGCTGTGGCCTCTTACCCGAGTCTCTGAATGAGACTCCCTGCTGGCCTGGGGCTAGTCTCGGGCTGTCACCACCACTGCCTGAGTTCGATCCCCGGCCAGGGAGTGACCCACAGAGCGCAGCAGACCTCTCCTGTCTCACCCGCTGCTCCCCTCAGCAGTGCATTTCAGTCAGTCTGCCTGTTCTGTTCCCCACTCTGTCTCTGGGGAGTCGTCTCACCCTCCCACGCCTCTGGCCTGTACCCCTGTTCTTGCATAAATAAATTAAAAAAAAAAAAGAGACTCCACAGAGACAGCGGGGAACAGAACAGGCAGACTGACTGAAATGCACTGCTGAGGGGAGCAGCGGGGAGATAGGAGAGGTCTGCTCTGCCATGTCAGTATCTCCCTGGCCTGCCAGGATCGAATCCGCACTGCAGAGGCTGCAGTGGCTGAACCACTGCAGTGGCTCAACCTGCTGCGCCACTGGGGACACCCATAGTCTTTAAAAGGAAAAACAAGAAGGAAAACGTTTCCATACCTCACTCCTCCACCCCACTTCTCCCCACACCAGTAACAAGGAAGGGGCTAGGGAGAAGCTCTTGCATCGCTATAGGTTTTCCTCTGTGTGGGGTAACAATGACCGGTGCTCACAGTCTTCCTGTGTGCCAGCCATGGTCCTGAGGCCATTCAAGATGTCACCAACCAACCTACCAACACTGAGAAGCAGGAACTTATCTCCCTTTT